TTAGTTGGTCTAACCTGCTGACAGGGGAACATATTGCCATCTCAACAGAAAACTACACTCCCCTTGGGCTCTTGCTCCCCAGTCAAGTGGACACACCATCTGTGGAAGCCCCAGTACACCACGAGTGCTGTCTTTGGAAATGTGGTCATGTCTGGCATATATTGAACATCCTCTGATGTAAGACCTATATTGCCCAAATCCCCTGGAAGATATAAAAGATGACTGGATATTGTTCTGTTGTGCTGTACGTCTATTAGCGGCCGATGTTATGTTATAGTGTTGAGAGAGTTTTATTGTGTTCTTAAAGTCTTTACTGGACTGCTATATTTTCAGCCCAGTGTAGATTACAGCACTGTACAGTTACTTTACGTACCTTTAGGATGACAGTCTTTTAAGGTGGGCATAAAAGTTTTTGAGGTTTTTATACAGTAGCTGTCATATTTGACTACATTTTCTAGAGTGCATTTTTGTTATACACATATATGTTATGGCCAAAAAATAAAATAGTTCATACTTAGTATTTTCGCAAATCTCTAAACCTCCAGAAACCCTTCTTGATCAAAATTAAAGAGCTTTGGTGAGGGAACACAGGTTTGTGCTTTGCCTGATTTCAGCACCACTGTGATGGACAGCTCTCAATTGCCTCACTGTTTTCTCTCCCACCCTGTAGCCTTGATTCGCTTTCTGTTATCTTTTTCCCTTTCATTGAGTGTCTTTCTACTCACTTCACCTCTCATGCCTTTTAAAAAGGGTTACATTTAATACCTGGACATTTACATTTCAATAGCCGTATCAAATGACCAGCTGTTTCTGCAGTATGCTTATATTGACCACTATGATTTATTCATGTATTTTTTTTAATCTGTTTAGTATGACCATATGCTACTGGTACACTATTTGCACACTTAAACAGAGGTGCAAATGTTATCATTTTGTTCATACTTGGCATTAGGGATTGAACAATTCCTTAACTCTGTTTTGACTAAATAGATTTAATGTATTATTTAAAATATATACATATATATTTATATATTTAAATTGTTAAACTGTTTAAGTTAAATTATTTAAATATTTAAATTAAGTCTAATCTGATTTTACATTATTTTTATTTAATATTTTCTCAATTTTTCATTCATTTTGAACAATTCTCTAACTATACTTTAATAATTTAATTTATATAATTTATATATCTATACTTTAAATTATTTAAATGACATTATTTAAATATAATTATTTAAATTATAAATGTAATTATTTTAACTCATTAAGTTTTTATTTTAAATATTCTAAATATTGCTTAAATGTGAAATACCCTAGTTTTTCTATGGACAATGAATCATACCGTAGTTTGAGCACTCATTTTTTAAAGCAATCAAGCAATTATTTTTACTTACTGGATTTTTTTTTAATGCATGGCTGACATTTTCTTCATAAATTGTACTACTGTTACAATCCTGGTACCCCAAGTGCTAATTCTTTCTTCAGAGGAACTTCATTATTCATCATATTATCTTTCCCGAAGCCATTTTTCCTCACCTTTAACTTCTTCAAAGTACCCCCTTTCTCCTCAGCTCTGCTCTGTCAATGCTCTATAGATTTTCTTAACCCTCACACATAAACCACCATTCAGTATGAATCCTTCATTCATATCAAGCACACCCTGGGGCTCCCAACACTAACCAGAGAAGATTTCACCAATAATAACCCATTATTGTGTTCTTCTCTCCCTGCCAAAAACCAAGCCCCCCCCAAAAATGTTAATTTTCCAGGCTTCTAATCCACCAGCTATATAGTGCCATTCAGTGAATTAATGGAATTGTGGCTTATCTGGAGGCATGCCAGACAAATCCTCACTCGTGTTTCAGAGAGTTTCGTGAGAGCAAAACGTGTAACAATCCAGGAGGTATTACAGTGCAAAAGCTTTCTGATACAGTTCACGTTCTCTAAATTTCTCGATTTTTCTTTCTTTCAGTGTTAACCTTCAAGCTTGGGTGTGTCAATCTATTCAACAGACATACATTAGTGCAGTAGGCAGCTGTGATGCTTTATGGCTGTTTTTTACCACAACCCTGGGTTCACCCTTGCCCTTTAACCTTAAAGGATGAATTCAGCTTGTGATATACACCTATTTGTCAGAATGCAGTTCATTTAGGGACTAGTTTATTAATAGTCAACATTGGCACAGTGGGTAGAGCACATGCTCACATGGGGTGCTGAATCCAGTTTGTATCCAATCCCATTCTCACTCTCTCCCTGGACGTTCCTGTCTATTCCATGCTATATTTTTAAGCCAAAGCCATAAAAATAAAGTAACTAATGATACATAGTGTCTTTAAGCCCTCATGTAATTCTGAAGATCTGTCTCAATTCACATTTGCCCCTAATCATTTTAGTCATACACTGTATAAAGGACACTGTTTGTCCTTCATCTGTTTGTTCTGTTGATGAGTCACACACTAGTTCAGTAGTCGATGGAGAGGAGTTTCAACTATCAAGTGGCAAATGGTTGATATTGAAACAAAACCCAGTAAAACAATTTCAGTTTTTCCACAATGTTGCACAAATTAAGTACTGTACGAATTAATCATTGGCAAATGGTTGTATCGTCATGGGTACTCTTCTGCAGAAACATAAGTTGCTGAACAGTTAATGAATGGTTCAACCTAAGTATAATTATTTGGTAACACTTTACAATAAGGTTAATTAGTTTACATTAGTTAACTACTTTAGTTAACATGAACTAAGCATGAACAATACTTCTACAGAGTTTATTAATCTTAGTTAGTGTTAATTTCAACATTTACTAAGGCATTATTAAAATCAAAAGTTGTGCTTGTTAACATTAGTTAATGCACTGTGAATTAACATGAACTAACAATGAACGATTGTATTTTCATGAACTAACATTAACAAAGATTAATAAATGCCGTAATAAATGTATTGTTCATTGTTTGTTCATATTAGTTAATACATTAACTAACATTGGAACGTAATTGTAACGTGTTACCAATTATTTTTTATTTATTTTTAATAATTATAGACTATTATAGACTATTTGACTCTACAAAAGGTAAGTAGCAACATTATTAAATACAACTGATCTGCTTAATTCTCAGTTGAAACACCAACCATTGGTTTGATTCTTTGGGAACACACATATTACAGGATGTGACTGCCAATATGTAAGGTCATGTGCTATTTTATCATTCATTTTAGGTCTTATTTATTTGTTTCTTTATATGATACGTCCTATGTTTTTCACCCAGGACATACACTATAATTCAAACATTTGGGACTGGTAAGATTTTTTGTTTATAGAAAGAAATGTCTCTTATACGGACCAAGGCTGCATTCATTTGATCAAAAATACAGTAAAAACAGTAATATTCTGAAATATTATTATAATTTAAAAAACTATTTGAATATATTTTAAAATGTAATTTATTCCCATGATGGTAAAGCTGAATTTTCAGCAGAAATTACTCCAGTCTTCAAAGTGACATGATCATTCAGAAAACATTCGAATATGCTGTTTTGCTGCTCAATAAAATTTCTTATTATTATCAATGTTGAAAACAGTTGTGATGCTTAATTTTTATTTGTAGAAACTGTGATATTTATTTTTATAATATTTTTATTGTCACTTTTGATCGAGTTAATTGCCTCCACGCTGAAAAAAAAAAAGTTCTTTCAAAATAAACAAACAAACAAACTTACTGAACTGAAGTTTGTTCAAGTATTGAAACATACTTATCAACACTGAACATGGTATCATTTGACTATGGCCAGTTACCAACAACCCAGAGCACCCTTTCAATGCAACCATCCACTGTATATTAAACGTTATATACATGTTATATTTTTAAATATTTATTTACGGATGTTCTTCTCTTCCATCTTTCTAGATGAGTTCATTTAGCACCAGGGCGCTGACGCTCCTGTCGTCCGTGTTTGGGGCTTGTGGGTTACTCCTGGTGGGTGTGGCTGTGTCGACGGACTACTGGCTGCTAATGGAAGAAGGCATTGTCCTGCAGCAGAACCAGACCACAGAGGTGAAGATGGCTCTACATTCGGGACTCTGGAGGGTCTGTTTTGTAGCTGGTAGGTGCCCTTACAGCTGCATCATCTTCTATCACCTGACAAGTGTGTTGCTGAGACAGATGCCCGATTAAAAATCAAATAGCAATTGATTGTGGTATCACGCTGTTTTGCATCACTTCATCTCAACTTCGCCTCCTGCATCAGGTGTTGCATGCAAATCCACAGTTGAATCCCTGTGCATGGGTGTATCATCAGATGACAGTGTCTTGGTTAAGTCGCAGATTATTTGCGGGGTGTCCTGCTGTGTTATGCAGTTGGTCTTCAGTGTCCCTGCACAGCACTGGTGTGGCATCCTATTGCATCAGCCTCCTAAATCGTGCCAGCCATTGAAACAGGAACTAGTGAGGCTGTGTGGGCAAACCACAGTGAGATGCCAAATCAGTAACCACATCAAATTCCTAGGCTAATAAAAGATGCATTGAAACATGCATTTTCGATTTGCTTATGGAAATTGCATTTTTATGTTGCTTTGCATTGCATGCTGGTTTGTTTTCATGACACTGACAGGAAGTGCTGAGGTGGACTGAAACGATGCCACACCAGTTGGCTGCGAATGGCTGACTAAGAGAAGTGTGAAGATGATGTCACCTTGTTTCTAGCTTAACCAGTCCTGGTATTTAGATTGTCTGTATGTGGGAGTTTGACAAATCACTACAGGAAGACTCTTCGCCCATTAGGTGTGTTATGTGTATAATTTGCACACTTTTCATGCGCTCTGGACAGCATATGATTTATGTGTGCTCAAACAGGATCTATTTTTTTTTATATGCGTGTGCCGAGTGGGAGGTCTAATGTGCCCTGCTTTCATGTTCGTTATGCAGAAATGTCATGGTCATTCATTTTTGATCTTAAAAGTATCTTTGAAAATTTAATTTTATAAAGTTAAAATAATTAAAATGATTGTAGATTAAAATATTTTGTCTACAACAAGGGTTTTCAAAATGAGAGGCATGAAGGACGGGGTGCTAGGAAAGAGAAACATTTTCTGAGAAAAAATTTACAAAAATTTCAGTGTCAAAGTTTAAGATTTTAAATATGATTGAAATATTTAGAAAGACTGAAATATGTGTAACATAATTATGAATTTATGTTCACACTTACTATATTTGATTGTATTTAATTTTTTCCTACAAAGATGGATCAAAAGTCATAAAATGAATTGTGCTTATTTTAACCTTTTGACAGTTTTTAGCAATAAGAAGAAACTCATATCCATATAGTTTTGTGAACATTTTTAAAGTGTTTATCTCAGATATACGGAGCTCCTAAAGGGACATGATGGGGGAAAAAAATAGGAAATGGAAAGAAAAATTATATTTCAATGCTTTTATATTCTCTCGCAAACGTATTGGCAAAACCTTTGCGTTCTCCTCCAAAACTTTTGCATTCTTTCCGAAAACTTTTGCGTTCCCCCCAAAAACTTTGCGTTCACTTTCAAAACATTTGCGTTTTCTTGCAAAAAATAGTGTTCCCCTGAGAAATTTTGCATTCACTTGCAAACCATTTGCAGTCTCTTGCAAAACGTTTGCATTCCCCCAACAAACATTGCATTATCTTTTACTGTCACTTTAGACCAATACAATATATCCTTGCTGAATAAAAGTATTAATTTGTTTCAAAGAAACATTTGTTCTATGTCCAAGTGGTTCTCAACTAGGGTGTTGTTTTATCTACATCATCACAAATGTTTTGCGAGCTTATGCAAAGTTTTTTTTATGCTGTAAAAAATTTGTGTGAGTACCAATGTTAAAATACCAAGTGTTGGAAAGGAGAATATTCAGTCATTGAATTATATTCTGTATTTGCATATATATAAAAACATGCAAGATTTGCGAGCGAATGCAAAAGCAATGAAATATAATTTTTCCTCCCATTTCATTTTTTTTCATTCTTTCTTTCTTTTTTTTTTACCATCACCATGTCCCTTTAGAGGCTCTGTACAGATATACTGTAAACATAATGAAAATAAATATTTTCCAGATAATTTGTCAATTATTTAATTTAATTGTCTTGATATCAACATTTTCCACACAAAATGCATACATACAAATTATTATAGCTTTTATATTTTAGGAAGGGGGCCTTATATTTGGGTGGTCCTTAGCATCAGCAAGGGGAAAACAAACTTACATGCATATAAGGACAGCCACTGGTGCAAAAAAATGTAATAAAAATGCATGATGCTTCTGAGGTGCAGTGTATATGTGTAATGCATTTGAGTTTTCTCACCTCTCTTCTCAGAAATTGTCTTGATATCAACATTTTCCACACAAAATGCATACATACAAATTATTATAGCTTTTATATTTTAGGAAGGCGGCCTTATATTTGGGTGGTCCTTAGCATCAGCAAGGGGAAAACAAACTTACATGCATATAAGGACAGCCACTGGTGCAAAAAAATTTAATAAAAATGCATGATGCTTCTGAGGTGCAGTGTATATGTGTAATGCATTTGAGTTTTCTCACCTCTCTTCTCAGTGTTTGAACCAAAATCATTGCTGTGTGTCTCTCTGTTTGTCCCTGTCTCCCCTACTGTCACTGTCAATCTCTGTCCCGCTCTGCCTCTACACTCTCTCTGTCTCTCTTTGTGTCCCTGTCTCTCTCTCTCTCTGTCTCTCTTTCTATCTCAGGGCCAGAGAAGGGGAGATGTGTGGCATCTGACTACTTCACCGAGCCAGAAATAGAGATCACTACCGAGAACACAGCCAATATACTTAGTAAGAAAAATTAATGCACTTTATTGTGTATGAATGCAGATGGAAAAACAATGGTGTAAGTACAAGATGTTAAATACAATATAGTTTGTTAAGTGCTGTACAGGAGAATATTCATTCTGATTTAAAAAAAAAACATGTGCATGGACAATGACCATTATATTAATTATATTATATTATATTATAATTTAAATCTAAAAATATCTATAATTAATTTTCATGCGCTATGTGCATATTTTAGGTGTTCTAACTGGTGACTGGTCTTTTTTGTGACAATTTTTATATGTACAATTTAAAGTTGTTCAATATAATATGACACCATAAAAACTACATTTATAATAATTATAAAATACTGTATATTATATTATATTATATTATATTATATTATATTATATTATATTAATAATTAAATGTATGACTATATAATATTAGGCTATATTTTAGGTACTGTAGCTGATAATTTGCTTTATTTTTTAAGCGATTTAAATCACCTTTTAGTTTGACAGTTTTTAATACAATTAGTATTGTACAATTATTTATCAATACTACAAAAGCACAAAAAGGTTATAAATAGTTTCAGATGAAGCATGTCACACTTGACTCAATGACTTTGAGGGACTAAAATGTCAGAATTTCATTCTCAAGGAATTTTTTTCTGTCTCTGTTAGAAATGGTCAGGACGGCCACCCCCTTCCCTATGGTCTCACTCCTCTTTGTCTTCACGGCCTTTGTCATAAGCAACATCGGCCACATCCGTCCCCAGCGCACCATCCTGGCCTTCATCTCTGGAATCTTCTTCATCTTGTCAGGTAAGTTGTATGTACTTTGTTATATGGACATGTAATGTATAAATATCTGCTAAATCAGTTCTTGATTCTCATCATCATGTTTCTCATGATGTTCTCACTTTTGTGACCCATAGTTGTGTATCTATTTACATACTCTAGATTAGATACTATTTGTTGATATCCAGTTTCAGTGGTGAGCCTGGTAATTCTCCACAACTCTGTTCGAAATCAGGCTGAGAATCCTATTGAGAGGTTTGCATATTTAATGAATGGTGTTCCCAATATCCATCTATGGTAATGTGTGGTACACAATATCCATTAAATACTCCTTTTTTCTCACAAACAGTAATTAATAAGAGCGGTCTCTCTGATCCAGTCGACAGAGCTCTGCCTAACAGCTGTCATTTGCATTCAGCCATTAGAAACAGATTGTCAAGAATGTCAAAGTGTGTTTAGATTTGACTAATTTGTATGCAAAGTATGTCTTAAAACAGATCTGGTGTGCATTAGTGTTTTGAAAGAAATCTTTAAGCATTAGACTAAATACGTAACAGATATATGTAGGTCTGGATTGATACCAAAATAATAATTCAATTTTCTCCAGGTGTACAAGTTCATTCAGACTGTGCTGGAGAGATGTGAATTTCACAATACTCAACGAGGCTTGAAGACAGCTATGTGGCAGAACTATATCAGTTGATTGTATCCGTTTCCTGCTGACAGCTGTACAAATCAGCCTGCAGGAACAGATTTCCCATGAAGGGTTAGAAAGCTTGTGTTTGAACAGTTCTAGAATGCTGGAACAGGACGTGTTTGACGTGTTTTTAAACAGCACTCTGGAATATTTCATTTTGATTGCGGAATGCTGAATTCAGTCATATATTTTTTTTGTATAATTTTCACTCATCTGTGTAACTGATCGTTGTCCCAGGCTCCCAGTTTCCTACATAGCTGTGCTTGTTACATGTCTCTCATATCACTTCACGGTCTCTTCTCAAATAATAAAAAGTTTAAACTCAGATCAACTCCATACAGGATGCAGCAGTGCTTCTAAACCTTTTTGACTCTCTATATAGACTAAGATTAATTCCTCTGGTATGTCTGCGGATGAACTGGTTTATAAAGTCAGTCAGTCAGTCAATCAATCATAAAGAAGGTATTTAAAATCTTATTTGTTAAGCTATTTTTATTTACAGAAATGAGGAGTGTCAGTAGATTTAAATAATAAAATGTGATTAATTTTGATTACAGATGTTCTAAGAATTATATTAACAACTTAATTGGAAAAAAAGAAATATGATGTCAGTTTTTGGCAGTTTCTAGCATTTTATTTATTATTATTATATATACATAATATAATAATAATTAATATACATAATATTTAATATTTATATATAATATTTTTGTTTTTTATTAATTTAATTTATTTTTAATAATTGTAAGAAATCAAGCTGAGGCCCCCTGGTGGCCCAGCACCCTAGTTGAGAACCACTTGGACATAGAACAAATGTTTCTTTGAAACAAATTAATACTTTTATTCAGCAAGGTTATATTGTATTGGTCTAAAGTGACAGTAAAAGCATTTAGGGGGGGGATGTATCACAGTTTCCACAAAAATATTAAGCATAAACTGTTTTCAACTTTCACAATAATCAAAATATTTGTTTCTTTGGGCACAAAATCAGCATATTCGGATGATTTCTGAAGGATCATGTGACACTGAAGACTGAATTAATAGCTGCTTAAAATTTAGCTTTGCCATCACAGGAATAAATTACATTTCGAAATATATATTACACTGCATTTGTGATCAAGTGATATAATTGATTATTGTCCCAGGTAACTTATTTACCACATGTCTTTGCTAATTTCATTTATCTCGTATAACTCATTGCTTCTTTCTTCTCACATGATATGAGAATTTCAACTCAGCAATTATATTCACAGTACAGCTACAGCATAGTCTCGCAGAACTTATTGCTTAATTGCAGCACTTTATTTGCACTTCTACGTGATACCATTTACACTCCAATCAAAACGATCAACAGTTGCTATTTAGAATACAGTAAATCGTTGAGTGGCTGTTAAAATCTAATTTGCCTCAACATCTTCATTAGATGTCAGGAAATGAACAAAGAGGCAAAAGCAAGGAGTCAGCAAAGCCACTCAATCGTTTGCACAGAGCCGGGTCAACATGTCTCATGCATTGCAGCCGATGTGGCTTTAATGTCTGCACTACTGCAGTTTAATAATAATGGATTCAGTAGTACAACTGCAGATTCCTGTGGCAGCACCGGCAGCCGTTCAGCGCTGTGCCGTGTAGTGCTGCATCAGGTGCTACATTTAGCTCAGCATTTTGTACTACAGAATTATTAATAAAGCACAAGACACCACAACAGCGCTGTTGCATAGTGCTAAACACAGACATGAACAACACTGCAAAAAACAAAAACGCACTCTGTGATGTTCTAAACTGTAGTATACAGTAGTTTACTATGGTATAGAAGCAGGTAGATCCAGTCTTTTTGTATTCTATTTGTGCTTGGTTGTTTCGGAATATATACCTTAAAGTGACACAGCAGTTTAACATCCAATGTCTTGCATTTCTAATGCGAAAATTCTTTGTTGGTATTCGCAGCATAGACAGCTGGCAGTGACAGACTGCGATAATGTGTTTGATTACGCCAGAGGCTTTTCCTTACCGCTGTCTCCCTCTCTCTTTTTTCCCCCTCCTGCACTCCACAATTACCGCAGCAGAGCTTTCTCCATCATAACACAGCAGCATTTGAGCACGCTATAAATGTTAATGCCTTCTGGTATATGACAGGTTGCGTGTTGGTGTGCTGCTTTATCGTTCCCTCTCTGCACCGAGCTTTCAGAAGAAAAAAATGTTGACTGTTCAGTAGCGTGATAGGAAAACACTGTGGCATCAACTGCACTTTTATCTAAATGTTTACAAGGCATATTTGTTGCTTTCATTTGTCATTTTCATTAAATGCTTTTAGGCCCCTTTGTGAGTATATACCGTAATAGTTTATCCCTTTAATAATGTGAAGGTGATAGCTCAAATTATGCCGCTTGTTGAGGAAAAGTGGAAGCACATTAAAAAACCACATAACAATGCCCTGGCAACCATATACAACACTGTATGGCACGGCAACTTCTATTCAAGCACTATCACATTTTCTGAGTAAAAATAAAGGCACTATTGCATTGTGTCAGGATTATGTCCTATTTTTGGTTGAGTTTCTGTGTTCTGTCTTGTTTTGCCCTAGTTAGTCTCCTTGGTTTCTAATTAGTCCCACACCTGTTTCAGTTGTCTTCGATTACTTTCCTTGTGTGTATTTAAGAGTTTCCCTAGTTGCTTGTCCGATCTTGTTTATGCTAGTGAGGTTGTTTATTCCTAGTGTTCTCCTACATTCTACCTGTGTGGATTTATCATTATAGACTATTTATTTGTATCTTTGTCATTGTGCACTGCACTCTTTACTACAGCCACCCAGCTGTGACACATTGCTGGTTATTTACAAAATACTTTGCTCTCAGTAAACCAGCCACACGGAATGCTGTAGCAACAACACAGTTATCATCCATAACACCCTAGAAACCACAAAATAATGCACCAACAACACATTAGTACACCTTTATAATGCCTTATAACACCTTTATAACAACTTATAAAGAAATAAAGTTGTTATAGTTGTTACAGGGGTTTACGGCAATGTTCAGCTGATCAGGCTAGAAGTCCAGCTAAACACAACTTTTAAAAAAGAAATGAAGAAGAAGAAACCATCATAAACAAGCTTAAAGACATTACAACCATTAATGACCAGCTTAAACCATTTTAGACCAGCAAACCAGAGCCTGGTCAGGCTAGTCTTTTGGCTAGTTTTTGAGGGTTTTCATCTGGTCAGGCTAGGAGTTCATTTAAAAATTACTTGTAAATCTCATATTATGCTTGATTATTGCTAAATATTAGATTCAGTCTTTTTGTCAACTTGTTTTCTTTCAATTAGCACAGGTTTTGTATTTCTTTTTGGAGCTGATTGATTGGATAATTTTGGTAATATTCACTCATAAACTGAGGTGCATAAGCTCAGATCAATGAGGTCTATGATCAACCAGTTCCAAAAAGAAATATAAAACCTGTGCTAATTAACAGAAAACAAGTTGACAAAAAGATTGAATCCAACATTTGGTAATATAGAATAACAAGAAATTTACAAGCAGTTTTTTGTAAGCCGGCGATTTTACTGGTTGTTTCCAATGTACTCTTTTATTATTTATTTATTTATTTATCATTATATTTATATGCCAGAGTGCCTTTTCCTCCTTTTATTCTCTCTCAGGTTTGAGTTTAGTGGTCGGTCTGGTGCTGTATATCTCCAGTATAAATGATGAAGTGATGAACAGGCCTCGGGAGCCGGAGCAGTTCTTTCACTACCATTACGGCTGGTCGTTTGCCTTTGCTGCCAGCTCCTTCCTGCTCAAAGAGGTCAGTCACAGAGACAAGCGACTGTTAACACTTGAGCTGACTGCGTGTGTACTCTTATCACACAGCTCAGTTCATTAATATGCAGCTGTGTTTCACTGCTACACCAGTAGGTCTGCCCTCATCAGTATGCATTCATTTTAGCCTAGCTTTTGCTGAGGTGAAGGCTACACATTTCCGTTATGCTGCATATATGCTAATTCACTAAGTTCAGTGCAGCAATTTGTAAATGCCAACATCTAATGTCTGCAACAACCTCACCTTAAATTCTTATTATATATATGCATATACAGTGGGGTCCAAAAGTCTGAGATCATACATTAAAAAAAATCTAAATCTAATTTAAGCCTGGAAATAGACAAAGTTTAGGATTAATATATTAAATATAATGAATTCCTATGATGATAAAGCTGATTTTGAACATTTTGAAGTCTTCAGTGTTGCATGATCCTTCAGAAATCATTCTAATATGCTAAATTGAAGCTTATTATTATTACTATGAGTGATGAAAACAGTTGTGCTGCTTAATATTTTTAACTGCATTTATTTGAAACCGAAATCTTTTATAACATTGTAAAAGTCTTTAGTGTCACGTTTGATAAATTTAATGCATCCTTTCTGAATAAAAGTATTAAAGGGGTCATATGATGCAATTATTTTGTGTATTTGGTGTAATGAAATGTTTATGCGGTTTAAGGTTCAAAAAACACATTATTTTCCACACACTGTATATTACTGTTTCTCCTCTATGCCCCGCCTTTCTGAAACGCGTCGATTTTTTACAAAGCTCATCGTTCTGAAAAAGCGAGGTGTGCTCTGATTGGCCAGCTATCCAGTGCGTTGAGATTGGCCGAATTCCTCAAGCGTGTGACGGAAATGTTACGTCCCTTACCATATTGTGATACCTGCGGCAACCACATGTGACGACCCCGGGCTGGACTCTGCTTCGTCCACGGTGAAAGCCAATCCGGCGATCGACAGCGCGAAGCTAAAGTATTTCCTCAGCGACCAGCACGGATCAGATCCAGGCATGACGAAGCGATATCGTCCTCTTTTGGAAGGCCAAACAAAGTAGTTTCGCTTTCACAACAAAGCACACAGCGCCTTCACGACATGGCGGTGGCGGCAACAATACTACAGCGAGAATAAAAGTTACGCCTTCTTTCTTTGCGTGAACATTTGGGCGGCGTTATGCAAATCTTCCCAGATAGTGACGTAGGTATGTGGGGGCGTGTTAGAACAAGCCGTTTTAGGTAGGTGTGGCTGACTCTTAACTTTTATAAAGAATATCTCTTTGGATTTGAGACTTTAGTCTTTGCAACTTTACAGATCTTCTTTATGCACCAAGAGCTTGTAACACTTCAAAGAGAAAGGAAAAATTTTAATCGCATAATATGACCCCTTTAACACCTAAATTAAAAGTACTGATCCCAAATCTATAATTTTACCATTATTTATTTTTTCAGTTCTTTTATGAAAAGAGAAATCAGAATAAAATTATTACAGAATTAAGTAGTAAGTTGACTATATTCACAAAATAACACGGCCTCAAATGCCTTATTGCTTTTACAAAACGACTACAACAATAAAAATATTAAGGACAGCAATTCTCTTTGAAATTTTATAACATGATCACAATCAGCTTCAACTCTTTTTAAGAGTGCAGTCTACAAATGTATCCCTGGACCACAAAACCAGTCATAAGGGTCCATTTTTAAAAAATTAAGATTTATACATAATCTGAACGCTGAATAAATAAGCTTTCCATTGATGTAATGGTTTGTTAGGATAGGACATTATTTGGCTGAGATACAACTAAATCGTAGGGTTAACATTAGGGTTCCTGTTTTATCTGTTTTTACATTGTATCTGTGCTATTCCAAAAAAAAGACACTTGAATTTGAATTTAAAATGAATAATATTGGTGATTGACTAGTTTTGTTTTGCCAGGGTGCTGGTGTCATGTCTGTCTATCTCTTCATGAAACGTTACGCCGAAGAAGAGATGTATCGGCCCCACCCTGCGCTGTATCGCCCTCGCCTGTCTGAATGCAGTGACTACAGTGGCCAGTACCTGCACCCCGACTCGTGGCCTCCTCCTCAGCGTGGACGCAGCGGCTCCGAGATGTCCAGCGACATCTCCATTCAGCTCAACCAGACCCCGCTGCCTCCTCCGCCCAAAAGCAGCAGGCCCTCCAATCCACCCACTTCCTCGGGCCCCTCCTCCGGGGCCAGCTATCACCTCCCACCTGCTTCCTCCTCCTCCTCCTCTTCCTATCCTCACACCATCCACTCATCTCATTCCGGTGGCCACGCCCCTCAGTCCCTCCCAATGGCCACACCCCCATATGCAGTCGCGCCCCCTCGCTACCATGCGCATATGCGTATGAGCGCCTCCCCGTGTTAGATTTCCTCTGTTTAAAATACTTAAACAACAGAAATATGGGCATAACATGAGATAAGAGGATAAAACTCCAGAGACTATGGAATCAAAAGGGTGCTAAGTTGAAAAGAGGTAGACGAGGAAGCACTTCACTTACAATTCTGTGCCTGAATGAAGTTTAACAGATTCTCAGAGCGAGATTAATAAGTGAGGGAATAGCATTTATACATATAGAAAGAATGTACGGTGGAGAAATAAAACAGGAAAAGGTACAAAATACTGACTTGCTGAAAATAGTTGAGAACAACTGTACACATTTAAATTTGTATGTAAAATGTTTAAATCTTATTGCACACCCTAACCCTTCATCCCTTCACATATCATATATCGCTATTTATACCATTTCTTGTTTATACTAAAGCAAAAAGACACGAATGTGCCCCAAAGGTGGCGGATTTCTTTAAATGGTGTCGCAGATTTATTTCAACAAGCAATTTCTGTACATAATGTATCAAGAGCAGTAGTCATCTAGTGTAGTCCAACATATTTTATCATGTGGGCAAAGAAAAGATTTGTCCTTTACTATCAATTTGTAATGTTTTTAGATTTGTACATCAGGGTAGGTGTTCTACAAAGCTGGCTGATGTTTCCTTACTGGGATGTTGTACGCTTGGCCCCACGGCCCTCAATATGCCTTGTGTTTTGTTCTGCTCTCATATAAAAAAAAAACTAAACAAAAACTAAAAAAACACAATGTTTTAAAAACGTTTAGCAGTGGTATAGCACGATACAAAAAGGAAACGTTTGAAAATTTTAAACATATTTACCTTGAATGGAAATGGAGGCTGACTCCTATATGAATTCACTGTTCAATCATCATCTTAAAAATGCAGTTGTTACTTCTCGTTTATTATTGCTATTATTACTACAACGATTAATTGTAAACCTACATATATGTGACTATTGTACATTAGTCCTGTGCATACTGCAGCAGTGTTTCCGAGATCATGATTTAAAGTAATATGGGTTTATGAAAAATAACCGCAATCAACATGAGGAAGAATTCAAAAGCACAAAACAATGTGCTGTGGCTGTTTTCCACCTTGAGAGCTCCTGGTGTATTGCGCCATCTACTGGTCAAGCAGTATTAGTGCATCAAAGAAGCACTGAAGTACCTTGTCTGAACCACAAGTTGTATGAATCTGTATTCGATTCATTGACTAAAATGAGTCAGCACTTCCATACCTGGTGCCTGCGGATGCTGCAGCGATTGAGCAATGCAGTAAAGACAGTTTGTCCAGTATGATTTTTATACCAATAAATCAGTCCCTTTTCCCAATGCATAAACGTTGACCTTTGTAGAAAAATATCCCTTAATAAATATTAACTCATAGATATTATCATATTGACCTGTTATGCCCTTAAAACTAGTATTTTAATGCACAAAAGCTTGAGATATTTTCCAAAGTGTTATAACTGATAGAGTTCATTATTATGTGTAAATAAATACAGTATTATAATCATAAATAGTTATGAAATACGAATAGTTATGAAGAACAGGACTGGATCCTGCTGGATAGTAAAGAAATACATAGCATAACAATTTATATTATAGCCATATTACAAGTGAAATATGCAGAATTGAAGGTATGATTTATGGAAAATGAAAAGAGCAAGAGGAATGATTTTTGATTCCTAATATTTATTCAAGCGTTGCTGATGGTACAAATTTAGTTTGCTTTTAAGTCTAAAATGTGAATATCTGTTGGTTTTTTGTCTTTTACTAATAATTGCGTTATAATGAGCTTTCTGCTCCAAGTGACATTTGTTGTTGTTGCGGTCTGTGCTGAGGGTCTGACGTATAAATATGTATGTACCATTTTGCATGACATTTTTTCATCTTTATACTTTTCCTCTCAATCGTTTTTATTTTGTATTTATTTTTGCTTTTTCCCGGTTGGCTGTCCTTTGTCTTGATTTGTCTCTCTCAATGTCCCATTAAGCTAAAGCTGCCTCACTCATTTGACTTGTCTTTTCCTCTTTTACCCTTCATTTCTCTCTCTTCTCTCTCTATCAGCCTTCCTGTCTTTAGTTTTCTGTTTTCAGTTATCAGTTTTGCATGCCTTTCATTCCATAATGCCAAAGCAATTGTGCCTGACTTAAGATGATGATGACAGTTATTATTATTATTATTACTGAAACGTGGCATTTCTTCTTTGTAATCTGGAATTTGCTTAATAATAAATTAAAAAATAAAACAAAAAAAATGCACATCAAATGACTTGTGTTTGATGTCCAGTGTATTTCTAATACATTTACTGTACGCTTGTTCTTTAATTTGATATTTAAAAATGCAGAACAAAAATACAAAAATTATTATTATATGATATGCAGTATGACTGCATAAAATAAAGTGTTACCCTTTTTCCATTATAATTAGAATTTCATAGATGCAAGTATTTTGTGCGGGCAGTGAAATTAATCAAGATGAAAACAATGTAATTTGGCATAAAACCCTTAAAAATAAGCTTAATCTATTTATTGATCACATGGTAAATTTCAACATGGTTTTCATATTGTGGTTTTCCTTATTGCTTTTATATTGACAAGTTCATGTTCACATTCAAATCATTCTCATCTTGCTATATATTCCTTATGCAGGTCAATGCAGTTTTTCTGTACATTAGAGAGACGTTTCTTAATATTCTCAATGGTTTAAAAACACCATAGAAAGAGGCCAATGCCAGCTGGTTTTATTAATGAAATTTTGCCTGTTGGTGATGAAAGTATCTCTTTTAAGCTTTTGAGTGAAACCACAGTTAATATATCTGTATAATCAGATGACAATATAAGCATGTCTGTGGGGCGAATGAGTGACTGGGTGACTTGCTTGTGGAGAAATGAGTAAACGCTGGAGGAGTGTGAGTTGATGGGTCAGTGCATTAGCAATGAGCACTTGCTAATGTTCGGGCCATGTGCTTTAGATCCAGTATCGACTTCATGCATGAAATTCCATTGATTCCTTCTTTCTCGTCTAGAATGGCCTTGAAAGAACTTGGGAAATAATCTTGAGGCATAATTTACCCAGAGTGCTCAATGCACCATGTTTGTAAAAGTAAGATCGTATTATTGCTGCAACAGCATCAACTGAATCTGAGGAATTGCTTTCATGGCAAAAATACACTAGTGACAGAATAAACACCCATGTGTATAAGGAACCACAGTCTCTAATACATGCATCTCTCAGTGAGGGATGTTTGAAGCACTACATAACTGAGTGCTGATAATCAGCCTTTCTTCTCTACCTGAAGATGTGTGGGCGAACAGTGGCTGGTCTCTCTCTTTCTCTCTCTCTCTCTCACTTTTTCTCTCTCAGAGGAAAAAACATTGAAGAACACATGAGCAAATGAATACATGAAGCATATCGTCAGCATTTGCCAAGACATAAAAATAAATACATCACACGGCGCACTAGATTAAATAGTCACACCAACCTACTGGAGTCCTTACAATTTTACAGTGGTTTAAAATGCCACTAATTGAAATATATACTGTATATTAGATCCAGCTTATTTCCACCTTGATCCATTTTTACACTAACAATCTTGTGAGTTTGGTTGGTCAAGTCTGATTAATTGGCCAATATTTGACTATTTGGAAGCATACATGGTTGCAATTATTAATTTCCTGAAAAAATATCCCCAATAATTTCTTATGGGGGGGTTCATTATGCCTTTTCAGGGATCCAAAGCCCACCACCCCCTGCCTTATTGATCTCAGACGATGTTATTTCCCCTTTATGTGAGTAAATTGATATTGCGAATGCTTTTCTTTGCAAATATTTTAAGTGGACTAACTTTTAAATGATGTGTAAAATAAGTGTAACTTCAGCAATTTTGTATATGATTTAATTGCTCTCTGATCTTAGAGTTGAATTTCACTACATATAGGCTTTGTGTGTGTGTGTGTGTGTGTGTGTGTGTGTGAGACAGAGAGGGAAAACGGTAACATTCTGACCAAAACATGTCATATAGACTGTCAAATAGTCATTGCCCTCATTAGCCATATTAAACTTCCTTTCCCTTTAAGGTTTATTTAATGGCTTGAAAGTGTGTGTCAGATAATGAAACAATCAAAATAAATCAATTACAAAGAAAATGTTATGTGCCATTTTAAAATCTTAGGCTAATTCTGAGATGGTCAAACAGCCTACAATCAATCCATTCTTCACTCTCTGACAGAATCTATATCATTTGTTCGATTAGTTCAGGTCTGTCATCCCGTTCCTAGAGAACTGTGATTTGTCTCTTGATCAATATTAAGCAAGTCCTGTCGGCTAATTCCTGTTTCACCATCGTTTAATCATATGAACACAACTGTCTCTCAACGCCCCCTCATTCACTGCCTCTCCAGAGCCGCCTCAAAGATTTACGACCAAAAAGCAACAGGGATACATGTCTAAACTGCTAAGGTAAGGCGAAAGAACATCAAGCAGTTACATTTTTATACGATTTGGCAGATTTTAAGCAGACTCCTTTAGATTTATTTATAGAATATCGGAAATGAATCGTGAAATTTAACTGACGCTCTGTGGTCGCTTTACTTGAAGCTTCAGTCGATTGTTAAGCTTTAAGCTTAAGTTTTTGTGCTTTTTATGTTTAAAGAACGTGTTTTATGCTATTTCTATAGACAGTTGTTTGTGAATATTGTGAAATTACTCAATCGTTTGACTCGCGTCTCGATGGCAGATGCGCGAGCTCAATGGAGACGCGCGCGGACTGAACGCTTCTAGTAACGCTCGCAGGAGAAATATCTGCCAGTCATTTTCATGGCTGAGGTGAATCAGTCATTGGTTTATGTTGTATCATATCCCTTTAAGGCCAAAACAACAAATCATTGATCGACTGAATGTCCGTTGGCACTGCAATATCGCAACGTGTTGCACTAGTGGCACTGACCTATACAACCAAGAGATGTGATGTTAATTGACACTTTTTTATACTTGACAATTGAGGTGATAAATTACATTTATGCACGTATATTATATCATAATAAATGTAAGTCCACCTCAAAATGATTGGATGCTTTTCCATTCATTCATTCATTCATTCATTCACACAAAAGACGCAAATGTCTTCTGGTGCTTAACCTATAGTGCCAATGTGTTTTAATAAAAATTAGGTTACGTTTAATGGCTCTAAAATGCTTTTATATGTGACAACAGCAATAATGGAAGCAATGGGAACTGGCTGCATGTGCAGTTTAAATCACTGGTTTAGAGAGGTTTATTCCACTTGTTGTATGAAAAAGGCAATTTTGAACCATTCAAGGCGCTTGAATCCTCTGTTATTTCTATCAGACATGACACATGGTTGCCATGTTAATGTTAATGTTGAATGTTTCCATGCTGGGAGGCCATTAGTGCCCTACAGAAGCTTATTCATATGTATCATTAAAACACTAGCTTGCCTTTTCTCCACAAACTTGGCTAATATGTGGCCAGAGGATGGCCTGCTGTTTAGTCCCCCAAAGTGTTTTTAGTGTTTTTATATTATTTCATTATTGTATAGCCTGTATATATATATATATATATATATATATATATATATATATATATATATATATATATATATATATACACACACACACACA